TCTCCTCTCCTCTCCTCTCCTCTCCTCTCCTCTCCTCTCCTCTCCTCCACCAACACAAATTGGAACCAGCCTCAGAGGAGAAAGAACCACAGTGAAACCCTGCCCCCCTCACTCCTCACCACCTAAGTTATCCAGGAACTCATCCATTGCTGTCATTCGTTAGATTTTAATTTTTTTAAAAGCAGTGCAACGGTACGTTGCAACGGAGGCAAAAGAGCTCAATCAACACCAGATTGAACTCTCCTTCACCTCTCCAGTTCGATCCCTAAGGATTTCCACTCCAGTTGGAACTCCCGTGTATTTGTCATCCATGTTGCTAAAGCATGGGGGGGCAGCTGTTTGGGATGTGCCTAGGTGTCTTTTTGACATTTCTCTTCCTTTCCCTTTGGCCAAGGCAGTTTCTGTGCTTCACAACAAACCTCTCGGTAGCCGACACAGACATGGTGAACCTGCCTTCGCTTCTAAGAACAGGGGTCTCCAACCATGGCAACTTTAAGACTTGTGGACTTCAACTCCCAGAGTTCCTCAGCCAGCTTTGCTCAGAGTCCCTCAGCCAGCTTTGCATTGAGCTTTGCTGGCTGAGGAACTCTGGGAGTTGAAGTCCACATGTCTTAAAGTTGCCACTGTTGGAGACCCCTGTCTTAGAAGGTTCTCAGGGAAACTGTAGGAACAGCTGGTCTCCCAAGGATGGGTCTGGAGGTATGTGCTGGCTGAAGTTTAGGTGATAAGCAAGCTCTCACATTTGTCAGGCCCTGCCTGACTGAAGAGTGCGTTGTATGCACCACAGTGGTGTTCTTTTCCAGTGGGAAGTTTGTGGTTGCTGAAGTGGCTCAGGTTCAGGAAAGGCGATTAGGAGCAGCGGGCTGAGCTGTACAGCAAATACTGTATCTCAGGTAATCCCAGGGAACTGCAAAGCCAGCAGATAAATGCAGTTAGAATATATTTCCACACTCATGCTGCACCTAACGTGCTTCACATACAAATGCTACCAATTTTGCTGAACTTAACAAGAAGTTTAAATGCAAAGAGCCACTACAGGGCTAATGTTTTAATTGGGTTTCTAAACTTCACACACTCCTGTTTGTAGTCTTATGTTTTTGGTAGATGTAAACCAAAGGGGGAGAAGATCCTTGCTCTGGGTTCCCGTTGTTTTCCCCAACCAAAAACCTTTGAACTGTTTTGAGTGTTGATCCATCAGAGCTCAGCCATCCCGAAACATTCCGAAGGCCTGTTTTGTCCAGAACCACAAAATAAAGCATCTTTCTTGTTTTTGCACATACAAAATAATATCTCCTTTGCGGTGATGGAAATTGTGTGTCCAAATGAGTAAATGATTGTGCTGGTGGAAGGACCACACTTGTCTTTCTTATGCTGTTATTTGTACCTTGCACCAAAATCAAATAGCCCTTCCTATATACCCCAGATAAAAATGTAAAAACAGTTCCGAGGTTTTTTTTTTTTGTTCCTCCCTTTGCTATCTCCTTGCAAGTTACTCAGAGATTTTGTAGGCTAATAAGTATGGATTCATAAACATGTTCATCTTTATTTTGCCTTTCCATTTTCATCAAAGTATGGATGCAAATACAAATACTATATTGGATGTACCAAAAAGTTTAAATGCAATGGGTGTGTGGAGTGATACTGAGAAATGGGAAGAGACAAGACTCGGAAACTACAGATAGATTAACTTAATGTCTGCATTGCACAAGAGATTAGAATGAGTGCATGTCTCTGAGAATTTCGAAACAATCCTGTTGTTCAGGAGCAAGTGTGACTTTGATAAGGACAAATCATGTCAGACTCACCTTATCTCCTTTATTACAGAATGATTTCTTTGATAGACCAAGGGAATGCTAAGAATGTGGTCTATCTTGAATGTAGCATTTGAAAAGGTCTCTTAATCTCCCATGAGCTGTTCAGAGCATCCAGTAGTGGGAGGTGCTTCAGTCTCTGCGTATCTAGGCTGGGCTTAATTTGTGGAATGCTCCTCCTCCTCCATGATATTCCTTCCCAGCATTCCCCAGTTTTTGCTCAGCCTTGTGAGAGATAGGCAGTGCTTGTGATTCTTCCTTGGCTGAAGCAGGAAAAATTCTTTCCTTGCTAGCAGGTTTGAAAGTTAATCAGCTGGTCTTTAGAATCCTTTAGCCTTCTAATCGCGTTGCGATCTCTCAACGTTGGCTCACATTACAGAGATCGCTCGCGTTACAGGGAAGCGCCAATTTGTGCCCCAAAGCGGCGGGAGGCTTCAGCGCTGTTCCACGCCCCCTCCCCACAAAACCGATCTTTCTACACCTGCCATTCCGACAGATTGCTGCAGAGTTTCTTTTACCCGAACAGCGGCGTGAGCTCTTTACTCCCAACAGAGTCGTATCGCTTTCCTTCCCCCTCTGAACGCCACTTGGGGTGGCGAATTCAAATGCTTAGTGCCTTCCACCCTTCCCCGCCGCTTAGCCTTATAGGAAAAGCCATCGGAGGCTATTCCTTCACACGGTGGCAGTTTGCTGCTGGGGAGCGCGCCAAAAGATTAACGGCCGGAGGCCATCTTTTCTTACAAGACCTCGTGGCCACGTGCCTGTATTCCATTTCATGCTATGTGAGGTAACTGTTCCGAGGAGAGGTTCCCTTCAGGAACACTGGGGACCATTATACCCTCGTCTTGGTTTCTTTCAACATTCGAGGCTATTCTTACAGTTAAATTGTTGGCTTAACACTCACAGCCCAATCAACCCAGCGGCACAACAGCGAGCATCTAGGCCTGTGTCCACCTGTGCAGGGAAGCTGTTGAAGGCCTCTACCATAATCAATCTGGGCCTTTAGGCGTTCTCAATTTGGCTGTTTGGTTTCTCAGCATGTAACATCGTGCCACTTAATTAATATTCATATACGTATTGCCATATATATATATTAGTGGTTATATAATAATACAATAAGAATAATAATAACTTTCTCTTCGGTATAATATTTTAATATCAATAAAATATTATTGCTGAGATACGACTCATTATAGATAGGTATTATTCAAAAAAAAAAAAAAAAGAGGAAAGGGGGCAATAAAAACATCATCAGGGCAACCGGTCTGTCCTCAGATCTGGCCCCTGGGCGTGCCAACTGCCTTCACAGTATTGCACTGTATAACAAGCATACTGTAATTCCAACTTCAATCGAAATGGCAGACGGTAGCAGCTCTCAGACCTCATCCTTGAAGGTCAAAGCCAAATCTCAGCACAAACCTAAGCAGGCTAAAGGGAAATCTAAAACTTCAGAAAGGGATGCCATCAGGCACCATAAAGCTTTACAAAAACAGATAGATAAGCGCACACGGGAGGCGCACAGGGTCTCACAGGACTTCCCCTCCTCCAGTCCAGGTCCGTCTACCTCTTCCCACCCTTCTCTTCCCCTAGATCTCTCCCTCTCATCCAGGCGCAGCTTGGCTCCCCAAAGCCAACAGGCCCAAGTATCTGGGACACCGACCACGCGAAGGGCTCCAGAAGCTACATTCACTCTGACGGCTGCCGGTCTTCATCAGGTCAACATTCTTCCAGAGGAAGTTCCAGAGAGGATGAAGGCCTGGGAGGAGCTGGCAATCCGCTAGGGAATCGTAGCAGGTCTTCAATACGCAGTTATGACCAGGGAATATCCTGTGATCACCTATCATGATTCCCAGTCGCTGAGGTCGTTGACCTGGTCGGAGCAGCACTATACCCAGGTACATTTACAAGGGGAGGTCCCCCTCCAAGGGCCGACTGAGGAGGAGGAGGAGGAGGAAGTGGACCAAATTGATCAAATGGAAGAGATTGAATCAGGATCAATACATGACAGCGAGCCCCTGTCAGAAGCAGACCCCTTAGAAAGGGGAATGTCTGAGGATGAGGGCCTTGTTCCTGACCAACCTGTTTTTACAGACTTATTCCGCCCACAACTTTTCAGATCTCTCTTGTTTAAGGCAAAAAATATTGCATGCCTAAACAAGTCGACCCCTTCTACCACTCCAACTCCTTCGGAAGAGGGACCAGAAGATCTAATTTTCAACCAACCAGTAGTCGAAGCAGAGGTGATCCCAGTTCCTCCCATGTTTTCAGACCTGGTACAGAAACAGTGGGCCTCTGCAGTGGTGTACCCAGCCCCCACTGGATATGACAGGAAATATTTCAATTTGGCCCCTGATTTCTCAAAATTATTGAATACTCCTGAGGTAGATGAACCTATAGTGGGACTAGCATCCTCCTCCATTCCCAGTGATGCACTGGAGGCATTAAAGCCGGAGGAAAAATGGGCTGAGCTAGCCCTACGCAGAGCCCATCAGTCTGACACATGGGCCATCAGAGCAGCCACAGCCGCCGCCTCCTTCAACCGTTCTTCTCTCAGATGGCTCCGCCTCTTAAGGGAACATGTCCCTAATTCCAACCTTAGAGCGCACCAAGATATTGCTAAACTTATAGCAGCTGCTGAATTCTCAGCTGACGCAACTTATCATGGAGTCAATTTTTCAGCCAGGGCCATTACTTCACATGTCACAGCGCGACGCTTACTATGGTTAAAACATTGGCAAGCAGACTTTAAGCACAAATGCAAGCTGGCTTCATCCCCAATTGTGGGAGACAGACTGTTTGGCCCTTCCCTTGATCCGCTACTAATTGAAACCCGAAACAAAAAGAAAATTCTTCCTTCCCTTTTTCGGAAGTCAGATTCTACAAACCCTCAGTCCTTTTGGAGGGGATCCTTTTGGCCCTTTTACCAGGGATCCTTTTCACCCAGATACCAGAGACCTCTATCATTCAGACCAGGGCAGCAGTCAGACAGGTCCAACTTCGGGGATAGGAGCAGAAGGGGTGGTCAATCCAAGAGATCCTTTCGGGGAGCAGGAAACAGGTCCTTTAAGCGTCCAAGATAACTCCCTGGACTCGACCCCCATTGGTGGACGCCTTAAATTATTCGTGGACAAATGGGACTCCTCAACCTCTGATTCCTGGGTCAGAGACACGATTAGATTTGGCCTTGCACTGGAGTTTCAGTCTGCTTGCCCAGATTTTTTCATGTCATGTCCTCCAGAGACTTGGTTAAATGTAATCTCATGGAAACAGCTTTCCAACACCTATTGGACATACGAGCCATCCAGCCAGTAGCCACCAACCAACGAGGGCGAGGTTTCTATTCACATCTTTTTGTTGTTCCCAAAAGTTCGGGGAGATGGAGAGCGATATTGGATCTGAAATGTCTCAACCGTTTCTTAGTATATCGCAAGTTTAAAATGCACATCCTGCAATCTATCTTACTTGGTATCAGAAAGGGTGACATCCTCACGTCCATAAACCTGACGGAGGCGTACCTACATATTGCTATTCGGCCTTCCAACTATAAATTTCTGAGATTCTGTTATAATAACCACCATTTTGAATATGTGGCCCTTCCTTTTGGACTAGCTTCTGCCCCCAGGACCTTCACGATCGATCAATCTCCATCCGACCCTGTTTCAAGAGGTGGTCAGGACATTTGGACAGCCGGTGGTGGACCTGTTCGCTTCCCCCCTCAACGCTCAGCTCCCAAGATTTTTTTCCAGGTACCCCTCACAAGGAGTGGAGAACTTCAATTCGCTCCGCTGTCGTTGGCCCCCGGGACTTCTGTATGCATTCCTGCCACTTCCACTGGTTCCCAAGGTCATCCAGAAACTGCTAGACGAGAGGGCGGAACTACTTTTAGTAGCCTCTTACTGACCCAGACGGCCGTGGTTTGCAGATCTCCACAGTCTATCCGTATGAACACCATGGAGAATTCCCCCAGCCAGGGTCTGGCTAACCTGGGGACCCCTTCAACATCCGGACCCTCAATTGCACCTGACCGTCTGGAGGTTGAGCGGAGTTGTCTGAAGAGCGAAAAGTTTTCCAACAGAGTTATTGTCACTATCCAAGCCGCCAGACGCCCCCCAACAACTCGCATTTACAATGCCACATGGTCCAGTTTCTGCAAATGGTGTACCGAGTCTCGAATTGATCCCATCTCTCCATCTGTGGCTCAAATCCTAGAGTTCTTGCAAGAGGGACTTGATAAGGGATTATCACCTAATACGTTGAAAAGACAGGTGGCGGCCTTGGCCTCTACTATCTCTTTCCCATCATCCACTCATACGGAATTTCCTTCGAGGAGCCACAAATTTACGCCCCCCAGCGGTACACCATTATCCCACCTGGGACCTTAACAAGGTCCTCGTCGCACTCACTAAGGGTCCTTTCGAACCCTTGAAATTGTCAAGTCTCTAATTTCTGACATATAAAGTAGTTTTCCTTGTAGCGATCACTTTTACTCATCATATTTCGGAGATTGCAGCTTTGTCTACCAGACAAGATCTTTTGTTTTCCATTCTGACCGGGTGGTCCTTCATCCTGATCCTACATTTATACCCAAAATTAACTCATTTTTTCATTGGGCACAAGAGCTGATACTTCCTAATTTTTGTCCCAGACCATCCCAAGGGTTGGAACTACAATGGCATAGGCTTGATGTGAGGCGAGCATTGCAAATATATATCAACCGCACAGCGGCTTTCAGAAAAATAGAAGCCTTATTTGTGTCTTTTCAGCCCAACACTCAGGGATCCAAGGTCTCACCTTCTACAATAGGCCATTGGCTACGGGCCGCGGTAGCGAAAACGTATCAGACTCAATCCCTGCAGGTGCCCAGGGGTATAACAGCTCATTCAACAAGGAGCGCTGCAACGTCGGCAGCGTTGGCCACACAGGCACCAATAACTGAAATTTGTCAAGCTGCAACCTGGGCCTCTGCATCGCTATTCATTAGGCATTACAAAATAGATGTGTTTGCATCTGCTGAGGCCTTATTTGGCAGAAGAGTTCTGCAACGGGTCCACAGGGACCAGGAGGAGATTCCAGGCCAGACGGAGTCCCTCCCGTAGGACAGGCCAAGCTTTGGTATGTCCCACTACTGGATGCTCTGAACAGTTCATGGGAGAAAGGGCATTGGTACTTACCTGACACACCCGTTCTCTTTGAGGTGTGAAGAGCATCCAGCCCCACCCTTTTTTCCATCTGGTAGGGTTCTGTTTCGGCCAACGAATTGTTAGGGCATTGAGGACGAGGGCGGTTATTTCTCTCGTCTTCGCCAAAACTGGGGAACGCTGGGGAGGAGTACCGTGGAGGAGGAGGAGGAGCGTTCCACAAATTAAGCCCAGCCTAGACATGCAGAGACTGAAGCACCTCCCACTACTGGATGCTCTGAACAGCTCAAAGAGAACGGGTGTGTCAGGTAAGTACCAACGCCCTATCTCCCTGAGTCTAAGACAGAGACACGTTAACTGGTTGGTTCTGTGATACAGTTGGACCACATTGAAGGTTGTTCATAAATGGTTTTACGTCATCCGGTCAGGCTGTTTCAAAGGGAGACCAGTCCTGTTCAGCATGAGGTACAAGATACATTTGTTTAACTGCAAGACCAAATCACACTGCAAATGAAGCTTGAACATTGGGTCAGATCCAAAGCAGAGGTGGTATTCAGCAGGCTCTGACCAGTTCTGGAGAACCAGTAGTGGAAAATTTGAGTAGTTTGGAAAACTGGCAAATCCTATCTCTGACTGGCCCCGCCAACCCCGTCTCTTCTCTGCCTCCCATTGAGTCCCAGATGATTGGCTGGGTCTCCTTTGGTTGCCCTGCCCAGGAGAACGGAGTTGGAAAGCAGGTTAGTGGGCTGGGGAGGGAATGGGGAATTTGCAGTATCCTTCCCTTGCCACGCCCACCAAGCCACACCCATCAAGTCATGCCCATCAAGCCACTCCCACAGAACTGGTAGTAAAAGTTTTTGAAACCCACTACAGATCCAAAGACAAGAATTCAGCGGTGAAAACATTTTGTTCATTTTACCCGTGAAGAAAGTATCAAATTCAGGTTTCAGATTGCAGAATGTAAGATAGATAGTGGCGTATGTGATCAGGATCAATGACTCCCGGTGGCCCACAATCTGAATTTAATAAGCAAACTTCTCAAAACTTCCACGCAGTCAAACTGCTTTTAACAGAAGAACACATGGAAACCATAGGTTGCATTGTCCCCTGTGCTGGCTAGCTTGTACTTAGAATACTGAGCTTAGTTGTGGACGGTACAGTTCAAAGGGCAGAAGTGAATTGGGTTCAGAGGAGACAAGAGTGTTAACTGGGAGCCAAGCCCTGTATGCAACAGTTAAAAGAGCAGTGAAAGAGTGGTGGGAGACAAATACTTTAAAAGATTGCTGTGTGCAAGAGAGGAGCATGAGCCGTGTTATGTGTTGAAAGCGATAGAAGATGGAAACTGATAGAGATTCAGACAGCATTTTAGGAAGAATTTCCTGACAGCATGGACTGCTAAGCAGAGGAATTGTCTGACTATTGGTCTCTCCCCCCCCCCTCCCCCCATGCACTGCTGCTTTTTGCTGGAACATTTTTAGACCAGCAGCCCCCAACCCCTTGGGCATCGGGGGTTGGGTCCATTGGTGGGATTAAAAAAAAATTACTACCGGTTCTGTGGGCATGGCTGGGTGGGCGTGGCAGGGGAAGGATACTGTAAAATCTCCAGTCAGAGGTGGGATTTGCCCGTTCTCCAAACTACTCAAATTTTCCACTACTGGTTCTCCAGAGCTGGCCAGAACCTGCTGAAGACCACCTCTGATTGGGTCCGTAGAGAAAAGGTTTTCCACGGACCGGAAAAACCTCCTGCTGCATCCCACGGATGGGGTTTCACTGCTCAACCTGGTTGCTGGCATCCATGGCAGGAGTTGGGGACCCCTGTTGTAGAGTTTAGAAAAGTGGAATATAAAACAGTTTTAAATAAACCCTGGCAGAAGTAAGAGGTTGGAATTTACGTAAATTTTATTTTATTTATCACAGATTAAAGAAAAATGTTCCCAATGTTGCTGATGAAGGTAAAATCACATGCCATAAAACATGATACTGAAGTGCGATAATCAAACTTCAATAAATGCAGCAAACACCAACAGTTAAAACTTCTTTTCACAATAGTTAAGACCAGAGCATTAAAACTCAAGGGAAGTTGTGATCAAATTAATAGGCTTATAAAAAGGCAAATATTTATATTTTACACTTTTAAAAGCTCTGCTATACCCGTAATCATCTGCACAGGATGTTTTTAAGTCTGTGATTTGCTGACTTAACTCAATTTTGATATGCTGAAATTAAGGAACTCATTACCTGCTCTCCTTATTTCAGGGTGAGAGGAAAACCTTGGCTTGTAAAAAAAAAACCCACCTGGTGATTATCAGCTTTTTAAAATAGCATCACATGGAAACACACCGCTTTTTATTTCAGTTTCCATTTAAATTTCAACTCGCTAAGGAGGAGACAAATTACATGATGTTTAATAAGGACTGTTTATTACATGCCACTGCCTTGTTTTGTTCCCAGAAGTTATTTTGGGGGTTGTTTTTCTCCCATTCTCTCTTTCCTGTCCATGTGGACAAAGCAAGGAACCTCCAGAATTGTCTGCAATTGTAATAATTATGAAGGTGGTGGCAGCTTCTGAATCAGCGGCAATGGAATGTAAGGGATGGTTTGCATTTGGTAATGGCACTTTTGTAGGATGTGGAGTAGAATATGGGGTTTGGTTGCATAGGAAGGGCATTGAGGAAAGCTGCTTCCTCTGCCACGGCCATGTTGGAGCAACGCCTTTGCCTGACTTCGACCCGCATCCAAAGAATCTGCATTGGCAGGATACAGGGCTGGTTGTGGCAGCTCTCACTGCCTCTGGATGAATGCAAAGTAAGGCATGCTTGTGTAATGACGATAAGGACAGCTTGAAGGCCTTTCTGCGCATAATGTTCAAACAACTCTAATTCATGTTTGCTGCTTGCCTAGTGAGGGAAGTATTTAAAATTGACTTCAAAGCTCTTAATCATCTACAGTGTAGAAGAAGACTTGGTAACCCAGGATGCATGGCTGTGGGTGCTTCTTCCAGGGAATATTTTAAACATGGATCATTGCTTCTGTTCGCTTCAAGCTCCTGACATCATCACAATCAGTGGCTTTTCTTTAAACTGTGCTCGTCATACCTGATCCAGTGACAGGGACTCACCTCTTTTAGAGTAGTTATACCAGACGTACAACTTTTAATGTGAGTAGTTTGTGCAATTCGTTGAAATTTTGACTTAAGGAATTAGCTTTTGTAGTCAGTATTTGTCTCCTGCTTGTTTCTGGATAGAAATTCCTTCTAATGTTTTATTGCACAATTTTATATATTGCCCATTTCCATTGAAACCCGAGGTGGTTTTCAAAACAAAAGAAAAAAGATGTACAATTAAAATCTGCAAAGGCAATGATTGCATCACTAAAAGGCAACCACGCACCAAGAGGTACAGATATTTGGTACAATGGCTAAGTTTTCAATGGTTTATAAAAAAGCAGAGAGATTGACATGCCCTGTTTCTCAAGAAGTTATGTGTGCCATTGCACGGGGGGCGGGGGAGGAGGGAAGTTACAGTGAAGATACACTAGGGCCCCCATTCCTTTGACTTCCTGGGGTGGGACCCTCATGTGTGTCTCTAGATCAGGGATCACCAACATTTTGGACCTCAGGGACCACCAAACTCGTAATTTTAAATCCCTCAGACCAGACCCTGGGAAAATCCCCCAAATCTGCAGGAAAATTCCCCACCTCGTTGGGATCGCAGGATACCATCTCCAGCTCCATTCTCACGTGTGGGTGGGGGGGGAGAGACTTTTGGCTTCATGCAAGGAAAGCAACAGAAGCAGCAGAAGTCTTTCTTTCTCTCCCCCAAATTCTGCCAGAAATGAGTCTTTGTGAGATTTGTCGTGCCGGCGCAGCCTCTTGGAGCAGGAGGCCTTGCAGGGTCCCAAAGACTCATTTCTGGTGCAGTTTGGGGGAGAGAAAGACTTTTGCTGCTTTCCTTGCGTGCAGCCAAAAGCAGAAGAAAGAAGCAGCCCGGCAGCCAGGCGAGGCACGTGGGGTGAGTGGGGCAAGTTCTCCCCCTCTGCCCTTCCCCCCCTCCCCTCACTACCTCGAGTTATTCACAATGCAAGTGACGCAAGCCTTGTGTTCCCATGGTCCATGTGGGCAGCGCAGCCTTGTGTTCCCGTGCAGCCTGGATTAATTGCTTTCTCTGCAGACCACCAAAATTTTCTTGCCGACCACCAGTGGTCCCAGCTCACTGGTTGGCGACCCCCTGCTCTAGATCAAGGGTGTCAAATTCAGGGGGTGGATCTGGCCCATGGGGTGCTTAGATCCGGCCTGGAAACAGTGAAAGGACCTGCCTGCGGTGCCTCTGCCAGTGAAAACGGAGTTTGGGAGGGCCACACACAGCCCTCTTGAGCTGTTTCCACTGGCAGAGGGTTGCAGGAGGCCATCGCAGCCAAAAACGGAGCTTGGGAGCCCATTTTTGCTGGCAGAGCACTCGGGCCTGCACAGGTGCCCCCAACAAGAGTGACCTCAAGCTGGCCACACCCACCTGGGCCCCAGAGGTCAAACACAACCCTGATGCGGCCCTCAATGAAATGGAGTTTGACACCCCTGGTCTAGATCAAGTGGTCCAGCTCTTAAAAGAGAGGGAAGGCCCTGTCCATATTAGAAGCCAAAGTCCCAGGGCTTCCAATTGGAACCAAAATAATTCAGCAGTCCTATGATGAGCAGCGTTCTGGCCCTCCAAATATTCTGGACATGTGCTGGTAGATTCATTTTTTCTAAGAGGCTGGCTCTGGCTCTTGAATCAACCCATATCCCCTGCGGGGAACGGGAAGACGAACAAACCTGCAAAAAAAAAAACCCAACAACA